TGACGCTCCGTGGTTGTTTTTTGGAGGACTTGGGAGGAGCAGGGCTCTGCTGCACAAGCTCCCTACCGTGCTGGGGGCTCTCGGGCTGCCACCAGCACCTCATGGGCCATTGCTGCCCGTGGGAGAGGCTCTGAGCTGAATTAAGAGCTGCCTTTTTCACTTTGTCGTTATTCCTCCTCTGACCATGCAAGAACATTAAAAAAAAAAAAAAAAAAAAAAAAAAAGGATGGGCTAATCATCTACTTTTAATCTCACATAATATGCTTTTTGTGTGTCTGCCTAATTTTATATAATCCCTTATTCTGGCAGCTTCCTTTGTCCCGAGGAGCTGCCTTCTCAGAAGAACAGCCTCTATAATGCACCGTATCAAACGCAGTGCTCTGTGTCTCCAACTAATAGCTGGAAAATTTAAATGAAGCCTTCTCCATGAAATGTATTGAATAATCTGCTCCTGGTGACGTTTGGACAATAAATATCTGGCAGTCTGTCCCCCGCTTAGACAAATCAAAGCAGAAACATCCCATAGTGAGATCCTCTGCTCCTTGTCCTTGTTACCTTGCTTTGGGATAGAAAATCCTAAAACAGGGCAACATCAGCTCCTACGCAGAAAAAGGAGCCCTGCTCTTTGAGATTCATTTTTGGCCGGAATGCTTTTCTTGAACGTTTCCTTYCCGCTCCTTGCTCCCACACCACCCACGTGTACATGGACCCAATTCACTCCCTCATTCCTTCGCACAGAGCTCTGCCGCTCCTGCAGACCGAGCCTCTTTGCGCCCCTCTGTTTGGAGGAGGAAATAAAGTGTCTGCAAATTGCAATAATCTCTTCCTTGAGCTCCACGTCGCTAACAGCCACTGCGCCCGTGGGCTATAGGAAACCCAATGTAAATAGGTGACCTTTGGGCACCTATGGAGACACAGTGGCTTGCAGGTGTTCGGGGATGATGTTGTCTGCATGGATTCTGGTGCAAAAGGAATAACTATGGGCTTTCTTTTCCTTTCCTTCAGGATCGCCTGTGTAATCCCTCGCCCTGTGATAATTTGCCGTGAGTGCTCTGAGCTTGCCACCGCTGGCACCAGGGTTTTTAGCCGGGAGCGGGGAGCCAAGGACCGAACTTGTCGCTTTACCTGTGAGACTGGACCCCAGCCTGTATTTCTCTGTATTTCCACACTTTTAAAGGCAAGCTTGCTTTTGCTGTAACACCGAAACACTCGTGCTGAGCATCTAGAACTGGCCGCTTAGTAATCTTGTGCGTGTGATTAATGGCGCAAGCCCGGCCAAGCGCTTTGATGAGCAGTGTGTTATTAGATCTCTGCTGTGATGTTGCAGACAGGAGAGCAAAGCGCCTCGCCTGCGGCTGCCCAGCTCCTTGCCCGCCTGGGAACGGCCCCAGGGCTTTTGATCTTGAGGGTGCGCCCGCCTGGCGCTGCACGAGCTGCGAGGCCTGAGCCCTGCGCACACAGAGCCGGGACTAGGCGGGAGCAGCAGCTCCGCTTATTCCCCTGGGCTTGATGTCCTCTCCGTACTTGAGGTAGCAGCAGGGTCTGTGCCCCCTGTCCACGGCCAGCACTGGGTAAGCTCAACTTTTAGCCCGAATTGCCCCTGGGAATGCGGTGCCTAAATCCCAGTGAAACGCAGACCTGAGCTTAGTGGTGGTGGCTCTGTTTCTTCCGAGACCACCTCATTCCTCCTCCYGAAGCAATGGTAGCGTTTTAGGTTTTACATCCCTGCAAAACTTCTGGAAATGCTGTCCTGAGAAGCTACGGCCRTGTGGGAATGCCAGTGGCACTCGAGCACCTGGGGAAGAGGAGCACTTCTGTAAAACGGGAATTTACCCTCATTTATTTTGAGGCTTTTCAAAGACTCAGGACTGCAGCTCTCCTTTCTTAGGTGGTTTTGTTCAGTGTGTGCTATTGCAGAGGAAAAGAGAGGGGGAGGAAGATGCAGAAGTGAAAAAAGACTGAACAAAGTCACTTCCCTGCTCTCCTTATCTCTAAACATYTTTAAAAAGTACTTAAGATAAGAATTTATTACTAAGCAGTCTGCCGGTCTCTACTTTGCCAGGTTTCACATTACTGACTAATGCAGTTCAGTTGTTACAAGCCAGTGACTTTACATTTGCGTCACCGAAGCAGTCACCCAAATAAGTGTGTAGGAATCAATGTTAAAAAAAAAAAAAAAAGTCAGTGGAAGACTTTATGGAYGGGGAAGGCGGGTTTTATTTTCCTTTTTCCAGCTGCCTCAACCCGAAGTCACAGGTGTAGGCGTGAGAACGTGGGAAGCAGCACTGCACGCTGGYGAGCAGCGTGTGCTCGGCCACGGATCCTCCGCGCTGCCTCCTGCCCGGGGCAGCGAGCTGGSTTTGAATAGCTCTTTTATGTGCTTTTGAAGTCGAGTGTTGTGGCACGAAGGCCCTGGTTGCTTCCCGTCCTTGCAGCTTGGGCAAGTGCCGCTGCTCTGCCAGGTTTGGGTGTCGCTGGGTGCCTGCGGGGAGGTGGGGTGCAGTCAGTTCCCTGTGCAGGTCCCTTCTGCAGGAGCCTCTGGCCTCGGCGGCTGCAGTCTCGTTGCTCCCTTGTGCCCTGGCTCRTCCCTTCCTTTAACCCTCGCTCTGTTGTTTCTCTGGTGCTTTCACCAAAGCACCTTTCCACTCGGCCGGACCCGTCGTACCGTATTGCTCACTAACCTGGGCGAATGCTGCTCGCTGCGAGGCTGGAAAAATAAAGCAGAGCACCAGGAAATGCATTTTGGCTTCTAAAAATAGAAAGKGCAGGAGAGAGGAAGGATGTGGGAGGAGAAGGAAGATGTGAGACACTCAGCTTTTCCTAGGACTTCTGAGAATTATCTGAAAAAGTCAGGCCAAGCAAAAGATAATAGCACCTTTTACATCTCCATTTACCCAGAGATGAGTCACTCTGGAAGTGATATTTGTGCCCTCAGGTTTCGAGACAAGCGAATCAATTTTGCTTAAAAGGAAAAAAGGCCACTGAGCCCCAGCATCCCGGTCCCTTCCACTCTACTTTCTGGGAGAACTTGGGCAGCTGCATTTTGGAGCTGAAGCCAGTTCAGTTCCTGATGTGCTTTGGGGTTTCACGCCGCTGAGGGAGATCTAAAGCGCTCCCAAAGGTCCCTTCTCCTAAAGGTATTTCAACAGAGACAGAGCGCCATGGATTAATGTGCTACAGGCAGAAAATACCAGGAATTGCAAAAGAGCTGACCTGAAGTAGTGTTGTGGAGGGTGGTTTTTACCTGAGGGTGTCCTAAGCCTAGCAGAGTGCTCTGACAAACTGTAAGAAGGGTTTGTCTCATCGGGGATATTCGTATTTCATTTAATTCATTGCACTTTGAATTACCTGGTGACCAGAGCTGCACAGAAAGCTGTTGGGTCTGTATAATCCGTATAATTTAAAAAAACCAAAACCTTTATCTATCCAGACTGCGTTTGTAAGTTAACATCCTTTAAAAATTCCCGCTCCCTGCCCAGGTTGCCTCGCAGCCACTGAAACTTGCAGGCTCTTGGGCTGTGCAGACTGCTTTGRCCTCCGTGCTGTCCCCGGGCCCTGGCCAAAGCAGTCGGCAGCTTCTCTTTCTCTGCCCCTCGCAGGTGTCTGCGCTTCCCCTGCGGAAGGAGGCTGCGAKGGGAGGCCGGCCGGGGCCGGGAGGCTCTGCTGATGCTCTGGAGGTGCGAGGTTCTCTTGTCCCCGTGGTGGCTTTGCCCCTTYGCAGGGCGCGAGGCGGCTCCCTGGGGTCATTCCGCGGCTCGCGTGCTGGCGGGGTGCTCCGGACGCRCCTGCACCCCGGATCGCAGAGGGAGGGCGACGCTGCCGGGCTCCCCGGAGGCGGGTGGGCCCTGGGCCCGTCCTGCGCTGGGTGTTGCTGCCATCCAGAGCTCGCTGCCGCGCGGTGCATTCCACCAGGATGCTCTGCTTGGGCTGCCAGTGCCAGATAAAGGCCGTAAATAATAAATGCYATGAATAAAGCATGACGTTCCTAAATAGCTCCGGTTTCCAGCAAGAACTGGAAGCTCGACCTGCCATGCTGGGAGCAAGTCTGTTCTCACTTCCTATTTGCCCTCTTCAACCTTCCCATAGACAGAAGCTTCAATAAGAAGAAACCAGTTCCTTTCTTCCTCTGTGCTTGTTTCTTRAGTGGTGTTTTTAAACAGAGGGTGCAGAGCTCTTGCTCGCTTGTCTGGGGCTGTTGCGTGCTTCTCCTCGGCCTCGTGCACGTGGCGGCTGCGGCTGCGTGGCGAGACGGCCGGCGCCAGCAGGCGACGTGGCCCGGGGCGCTCGCCGCCACATCCCCTGCCCATACCCRCCCGGCAGCACTGCTCCCCCCGGGGACTTCCTCAGGTTTGGCGGCTCTGAAAACTGCCGCTGTGGTGCAAGAGCAGGTTCAGCTGTTCCGCTGGAGGAGAAAGTTCAGCCCTTGGGGGTTGTGGTGGGGAAGGGGAGCAGAGGCAGCGCTGGGAACCACRTTCCACGAAGCTCCTGCCACTTTGTCCCTCGCTGCAGCAACCGTCCTCTCCATGTGCAGCCTGCACCTTGCCACCCGCTCGGGCTAGCGGGGAGCTCCCCGGGCACGCGCTTGCCGGGTGCTGCCAGCCTCTGAGGTGTCCAAGGTGCAGCCGCCGGCGCCTCGGGACCTTCCAGGCAAGGTTTAATGCAAAGGCTGTAACTCTGCAGAGCASCTTGGGAGAGAAAGATTTAAATCCGGTGGCAAAAGCCATTACTTGCATCCTCGTAGTTTTTCCCCTTGCAAAAATATCTGGCAACTAAAACAGCTCAGGCAACTGACTCTGGAAAARAAGTGACATTTTAAGGATTAAGCAATACTGAGAGAGTATTAAGTTCTGCACTAGTGAAGTCCCACGGGAGGATAAGTTTTTCTAGGTTTGCACGATACATTTGTACTGGCTTGGAGTTTTGCTCTGTGAGACATTTTCATAGAAAGGAAGATGACGAAGTCTTCCAATATCTTCCATTTCCAGTGTCGTGGCTGATATTGGTGACCTGGGCACACAGGGAGACTCTCCAGACTGCTGCGGAGTTCACACAGGTAATTCCATTTTGGTGCCTACGTAATTGGTGAGTTAAATTAAAACTCTGATTTTACCCCATTGAGTGGTGGGATCCTGAATGGGAAATAAACCTGGAGGTTGCAAGTTGAACTCACCCTGAAGCTGATAGRAAACTTAAGCAGGGAAATTTGAAGCTAGCCAAGAGTTTAGCCATGTTYGCTAAAGCAACGTAGCATTTAGGCACTTGGTTAGCAGCACATTGCAGGCTGCTGTGGGCCTGTCGAGCACTCCTAGGGCATGGCTGGAAGCTTAGGAAAATCGTTCTGGCCAAGCGAGCGCGGGAATCTGCCAAGGAGAGGGTGGACTCGGCTGCAGCCTGAGCTGTCCTTGCTGCTGGGCTTCCATCAGATGTTTTTCTGGGAGGTGAGCAGCATTGCTGCCCACAGGAGGGAGCCAAATGCATTGCTGTAGAGCAGGGAAGAAAGCACCGTTGGCTTCAGGCTCTTGAGGGAGTTTCAGGCTCCATCAGATATTCCTGCGTGGAAAGGAGCGGGAGCCAAGGGCAGCCTAAGGAGCATGTGGCTTCGCGGGCACGTGAGGACAGGGCAGCACGCGGAGACACAAGGAAAGGGCCGTTCAACCGAGGGCAAACGAGAGTGCCTTTGTTGAACTTCACGGAAGGATGGGGTTTCTTCCTGTTCAGACTCGTGTGAGACGCTGGGGGTAACTTTTCCCTAGTAAAAGGAGCTCCTTATTATTTTGGTGTTTATTGGATTCTGTGGGTTTTCCTGAGTTGTTTGCTGACACCGGACATTGTTTTGGGGCTGTGCTTGGGGCTGAGGTCCTGCACGCCTTTGCTTTTGCTTTGAGAGTGACCTCCCCTGGCTCAGTGAGGGCTGCAGCCCAGCTCCTTTTGTCCACATCCCAAAATGAGAATTTCCACAGAAAACACTGCTTGCCGCTCACAAGGCCAGGCTAGGCATCATCATGCAAGTAACGACCTGCTGCTTTTTATTCTCTCGGAGGCAGAGGTGGCTGGAGCAGCGAGTTGGCGAACCTGATTCTCTTCATGCTTAGTCATCTGGTGGCCTGTGAGAAACATCCCTGCTCTCTCTTCTCCCTCTTGCAGGAGCCGACTCCGAACGCTGGAGTTGAGACCTGTTGCTAATTGAGCGAATTGCGCTGTGCTGAATTATCCCCTCCATCAACTCGGTGAGGCTTTCTTGTTTAAATACTTCACTTTGATACATATAGTTACAGAAGTGGCGTGATTAGCTCTGTTTTCTGACCCTGGATGGGTTACATAATTTTTAATTCTGCCTTCTCCAAGTCGGGCTATGAGTGGCTTGGTGCATCTCGCGTGGCCGGGGCTGGGGAAGAGCGAAACCCTCTCCAGGCACTCGCTGACAGCGGTGGGAGCCTATCAGTAATGTGGGAACACAAAGTTACAAGCGGATTCTGGAAGGACAAATGGCATTTCATGCAATTACTTGATCAATGATAAAGAAAAAATGTAGAGCAGGCAAAGTACCCCCGCACAAAAAAAAAGCAGGAGAACAAACAGCAACTAAATACACTGTATATAATTCGTAACAGCTACAGGAATGAAGGGAAAATAGATATTTCAAGCACAATGTTTTTTCATATGTTAAAAGAATACATTCCTTTGCACTGTGCTGTAGTTATGAATTTGTCAGGGTTTGTGCTTTTTCCTCTTATTATTTCTCATTGTTAAAGGTCATCGGACTTTAAAAATATGGATAGGTTTTGTCGTTGCTGTAATCCTTCTAATGCATTGTATCCAAAGATTAAATCCCTCAAAGGATGGTGCCAAAGGAATCCTCCTCTGCTCGCCTCCGGTCCTGATGTGAGTGACAGGACGGATTCCAGCAGCAAGAGGGCAGAGATGCCCTGAACTGCACGTTGTCATTTGTGGTAATTGATGCTGAGACCTGCAAGGAGTGGAAACTCTCGCTGAGCTTTGTACTGCTGGGCTGGTCTTTGCCAAAAGGGCAGAGATGGAAAGCGCGAGTTAAAGCTGCGAGGTAGAGCAAATGATCAAGAGCCTTGTGAAGACACGGTCCTCTGCACCAGAGCGGACCTGCAAACCCCAACCCAGCCRGGTTTCCTTGCAGCCAAGCTGCTCTGGTTTGACCTGAGCTGCTCCGTGGTGGCAAGGGAAGGATAATATGGAATTCTTCAACATGGTTTGAATAAGCCTTCTGGGACCCGGGGTCGTGCTCTGTTTGGTAAGAGAAGTTTGCCTAATGAATCTATGCTGCGCTCTCCTTCACTTGTTATTAATAAGCTCTCTGACTCAGAGCTTATGACTTTGGTCTTTACTATGACAACAGATAAAGTGACAAGCCTTAAAGGAAAGAGCTTGTGTAAGAGGAGGAGGGATCCGCGAGCCTTTTGGCGGGTCCCGTTGCTGATTTATCCAAACAATTGTTTTGTATCGGAAAGTTTCAAGGAAACGTTACCTTCCCTGAAGGCCAGTTGGTCGCCAATGCCCAACTGAAGGTCAAAGCCAAGGTAGTTGTCCCTGCTAAATCCCATCCTAAGCTGCGCAACAGTCCAGTGCAGGTCTCAGCCCAGTGCAGGTCTCCACATAAACCTGGAGGCCCGGGAGTCTCCAGCTTGTTGTGATTTACATACCAGGGAAACACTCGCGGACTTGGAGATGGAGCCGCGTTTGTACAAACGGGGTCATGTTTGTTATTTGAAGCCGATTAAAGCACGCTGTATTTCATTTGCTTTATTGTTATGGGATTTTTCTGATTGTTTGTTTGATATTTTTTTAAGGGAACAAGCAAAGGCAAACACGTGCGGTGCGGCGTACGGAGACGCGGACACCCCATTCCCTGCAGCACGAGTACGGAGCGAGTCTGGGCCCCGCGTTCCTGCCGAGGCCGMGCTGGAGGCTGTGGAGGGAGGCCGCGCCGGCCTCGCCAACGTCCTGCTCCAAGGTGTCCCCAAACCAGAGCGGGACCTCCCCTCTTCATCGCCCTGGCCTCCATCTGCTCCAGCATTTTCCTGCTGGGGAAATGGAGGCCTCGCTCACTGCTGGGGGCCTCCTGGACCTCTCCCAATCCAGGTCCAGGATGCTAAATTGGAAAAAATGCAGCTCCTCGTGAGGCCCTTGTTGCTGGGCACGTAGGGCCACCCCTGCATGCAGGGCTGCTGTGTCGTGGCCCAGGGACCCGTGCCCTGGGTTTAGGTGGCTCCACAAACCATGGGTTTAGTTGGCTCCACAAACCACGGGTTTAGGTGGCTCCATAAAAGCAGGTTTAGGTGGCTCCACAAACCACGTCCCCATGAAGCAAAGGCTCCTGGAGAGAGCACCTGGGCCAGCTCGCAAGGGAGCTGCCAGCTCTGCACTCCGCGTCCCTGGTGCGAGCAGCGTAGACRTTAAAGAATATCGAAGCCAGCTTTTGGTCGGTGGCAGCGTGCCTGTAGCCTTCAGTAGCTCCAGCCTTGGCCACAGAAACCGATCACAGCTGAGGAAGAGATTTGATTCCGAGGCAGAGCTATTAGCTGCATCCTGGAGGTAAAGGAACAGTCGCTGGTGCTCAGCCCCACGTGTGCCCAAAAGGGCAGGCCGGGCCTTGGCAAGCTCGGGCGCTTGCAGTGATGTGGGCCCGGCCCTGATCAGGCAAGAATTGTTCCCAAAGCCAGGCCTTCTTACCCGCTGCCCACCTCGGCAGCTTGGAATCTGCGCCTGCTACAAGTGGAGCCCCATGACTTCGAGGAATAAAAAAATCCTTTGTGTAAAGGATCTTTACCAGCCGGCCTGGAATATTTCGGCTTGCAGGGATGAAACTTTTCCGTTTTTAAGGGCTTTGGAGTGCAGCGAGCATGACTTGGCCAAAGGTGCACAGGAAATTAGTAGCAGAGACTAGATTCTGGTACACTYGTGTCCCTTCACATGCTGATTTAAACCTGGTAAGGTAATTCAGAAGTTTTCCTTCTGCTTTAGGATTGGGAGGGAAAGTTGGGAAGTGCATGAGGAGAGGGAAGAGGAGTTCTTTCTAATCCCCCCCCTATAATTTTTGTGCTTCCCTGGCGGGTTTAAGTACTTAGGTAAAACAAAAAAGCTTTTATATTAGAGTCCATAATGTAAGATATAAAGATGATCCAAAGCACAGAATAAGAAAGGATGGATTAAATGGAGAATAAAAAGGAAAATAAATGAAGAACTTTTGTGGTTAAGTGTTAGGAGCTTTGGAAAATAATGCTCAAATTAGAAGCATGTGCGCTAGAAAGTTACAACATAGGTATTGCAAAAAAATGCATTCCTCCCGGAGRATGGGGGTAAATTAGGATTCAAAATTATGAAATGAGGTGGGGAAGTGATCTAGCCTCCTTCGTTGGGGAAAGCAAGCCCAGGTGTAGATCGTGTGTGTTGCCTAGGTGCATGGGTCAGGCAGGAGGCTCGCGAGACTGTGGCAGCACGGTGGACACTGTGGTACCACCTCAATTAAACACGAGGGAGCTGGAAGGGAACGGGGAGAGAAGGCGCCGGGTCCCGAAGGGACCATTTCTCGGCTGGTAAATGTGCACAGCCCGAGCAAAGCTGCCCCCTCGGAACAGAAGAGGAGGAGAAGTGGGGTAAGAAAGAGCTTGCAGCTGTCGGAATGATCGGATAGCCTGGGCCAGGGGCCATTTCCCACTCCTGGAAGCGCAGCACCTACATTCAGGGCGAATTCTGTGCTCAAATTTTCAGGCAGCAGTTTCCCAGCTGGAGAATTAAGAGGGGAGAGGAGAGATCACAGCTGCAGCCTGCAGATCAGGACCTTGTTGGGACCCCCTGCACGGGGCTGCACTGTCCSTTCCCTGTGCGTGGGGCTCGGTGTGACGCCTGTTCCTGTGGCTCTGTCCAGCACTGCTGTCCCGGGATGGAGGATGCTCCTTGGGGCTGCTCCGGTGGGAGCGCTCGTCCCAGCGCGCGCCGCGCACAGGTCCGCCTGGCCGCATCCCCGCGGAATTCCTCGAAGCCCTTCAAAATCGCCTTTCACACAGGAATCTCCATTGTTTACACACCAGGCTTGCCGTTCGCTCAGCAAAACATGGGTTTTATTAAATTTCCCTTGGAAAATAGGAGACATTATAAATGAAGGGAAAATATGTTTGTTTTTCTGTTTTTGTTTTTGTTTTGTGTGAAATTTGGGGGCGGGGAAGGAATGCTAACGACAGACAAAACCTTTGTTTTCGAACTAGGATTTTCAAGCACCCCGGAACACTCTCCTCTGGAAATYGCAGGAATGGTTCCGCTTGGAAGGGGCCTGTGGAAGCCTCCTACGAAGCAAGACGGGTCCCCCCATCGCTGGAGAAAAGGGGGTTCATGAGGTTACAAATGCACTTGCATGCTGGGCTGATCCTGCAGCTCGTCCACATCCCCCATACAGGTTTGTTGCTGCCATCCTCTCTAGTGGGAGCAAAATGAACTCGGGCACTGCTGGKGTGGACCTGGAAGCCAACACTTCCAGGTCTAGCAGGAAGGTGCCTGCGTGCRAGAGAGGCGGGAAAGAGGTAAAATAATAGTATTCCAGTACTAAATTAGGAACCTAGATAAAGAAAATGCAGTTTGCTGTAAATACCTACCCTGGTGATTCCTCTCAGAGCTGCTGGAACATTACCCACACTAGGACTTCATTGTATGAGAGTCAAAAACGTCCCTTTTCTGACATTAGAACTCAGGCAACTAAACATCAATTACCTGTGTATGTCTAATTGCTGGGGTCACGTTCAACGCTGTGCTTTAATTTTCCACCAAGCTGTTATTTCTGTCTCTCTCCTTTTTTTTTCCCTTCCTTTAGCAGTGACATTTGCATTCCTTTTAGCAAAATACCAAGGTTAAACTAAAAATAATTCTGCCCATCAGTTTTAGATTAGGACTAGAGCAGCACAGATTTACTGTAAATGTGTATGTAATGATTGCTGCCTTTCGCTGCCAGGAAATTGCTACAGTCAGACTTTTGAAGAATTAGATTAATACGTTTTTTAACATAATCTGAAGTTGTTTCTGATCAGCAAGTGGTAGCTGCTATTAATATCTGTGTGAATCCACCTTTTTTCATGAGTAACGGAGCTCTGTGGAAATTGTTTCCTTTCCCCCATAGCTGAGGATGTTTGGAAACTTGTTCTGCCACTGTTGGAGGTATCCTACGGAAAACAGCAGCGTTCCCTTGAGCCCCCYGCAGCTTAGAAACCACCGAGCTAAGGCTAATAAAACTGCCTTGCGTTTGGGGGATTTTATCCCTTTCTGGGACCTTGAGGGAGCTAATGCAGATTAAGGAACATGCCCTTGCTTTTAATTCTTTTTTTTTTTCTTTTTTTTTTTAGTGAGATTTGGTGTTTTGGAAGTTAAGCCGGTGCACGCGCAGCGCTGGACGCAGCAGCGGTGGCAGGAGGCACTTGCTCTTGCAGAGGCTCCAAGGAAAGTGCCTTGTCCCATACYGTTTTTAGAGCAAGCTTTAGTTCTGAAATTAGATTCTCCTTCAACGACCGTGTAGCCCAGTAGGCCAAAGTCTATGGATAATGATCCRTTTGCCATTTGAAAGGGCCGCAATATTGGATGTAATGAGATTATTTTGGAACCTGAGGATGGGGTAAGACCCATGGATCTCAGTGCTGTTTGGAAGAGTTAAGTGAGAAGAGTTCTGTTGCATCGTTGCTTTTTCCTCTTCAGTCTGTTTGCTGATCATGTTGTGGTTTTCTTAAGTTGAACAAACTCATTTTGATGTAATGGCATATCGTGAAGAGGATCCATGCAGGATCTCTGTATCCATGACATGTATTTTGGGCAACTGCTTTGCGTGACCTAACTTTATGTTTAATGCTACTTTATCAAGAAAAAAGAACCCCAGGCCAGCACATGAGCTGGAAT